CTTTTTGTTCTTTGCATTAATTTGATAAAATCAGAATGAATGTTGTAGCTGACTAGTTGGTATGTAATTTCCAATTGTATTAATCGATTGGGTATTGAAATTTGTTTGTATTTGTTTGAAAATATGGGATTGTATGTTGAAGTTTGTTGCTGGAATTTTGGATGAACTTTGATGAAAATGTTTATGTTTGTTAGGAGCAAGTTCAGTTTTAGGATTATTTGATGGAATACAGATGTTAACAGGTTTTGTGTTATTGTAAGCATGTTTTCTTTTATGCCTAAACCGGCCGAACCAAACCGCACCAAACCGGATATGAATGGTTTGGTTTGGTTTGGTTTTCATTTTGATTTTAGCTCAAACCGAACCACACCGGACCGTGAAAGTTTAATTGGTTCAGCTGTGGTTTGAGGGTGAAACCGGACCAAACCGGACCGTGCCCACGCCTATACAGAAGGGTGCCAAAAGGCGCAAATCATCTATTTCTGTTTCTATTTTCTGCAGGTAAAAGTTGACCGGTCGATTGGTATGGTATCTAACTTTTCACAGTTAAATGGGGCTTCGAATATTTGTAAAATAATTTCCAAAAAATTTAGGCTCCATTCCGACGAACGGATTCGAAAGAAATGATTTGGAGATACTAGCAACAAGTCTAAAATTTGTTATTAAAAAAAAGGTTAGTTTGAATGTATTTAACTAAATATCTCTTAAAATAACTAGTTGTTTCGCATTCGGAATAAAATGAATAATTTGGAATTCATTTGTTTTCTTCTTTTATCTTTATTCAAATCTTAACATTCATGAATTCCATTTTCGAAATTTTAACCACTGAATATTACTTGGAAGATTGGTGTACAATGAAAACATGATACATCTGAAGTTTTTACATAGAAACTTTCCCCTTTGTCATGTTCCTACTTCCTACACTACAACATTATCAAACAAGAGAAAGGTCAACAACATAGGTACTTCAAGAGAAGGATATGTTATAATGGATGTTGAACCTATTTACAAGTCAGGAAAGGTCGTAGAGGCACATTTTCATAATCTAATTCTATCAGCCACAGGCCTGGGAGACAAGGACCATGTCCAGCATGAGAGCAGTCCAAAGCGTCAAGCAGACCGCTTATAATAATACCTGCAAAGATTTCAAGAAATTAGTTTGATGTGCATTGGTGTGCGTGTTGGCAGAAGATGGGAGAAGGAAGAGAAAGAAAACATACACATATATCTTTAGCCTGTACAGAGAAGCATATTTTTGTAGAAGACGTTCAACTGTGTACCATTCTGCGCGATCCGATCCATCTTGATACCCAATGCGTGGCATGTGGATTGAAGCTGTTAAAATTAAGAAAGAAGAATGCGACATGAGACATTTAAAAAAAGTATAAAACCGAAATGTCTGACTCGAAGTTAGCCAATGAAATCTTGACGTCCTTAAAAAGAAAAGAACTACACTTTTGCATTTCAAATGTACCATGGGGTGAAATAACAAGGCAAGAATTGCATAGTCAGCTTTGAACTGATTCAATTATAATGTTTACCAGAATTCTGAGCAGCTGAAAATGATGCCTTCAATAAGCATCTTTCTAAGTCAGGAATAGAAATCTTGCTGCGGGGTACTTTACGCCTGGGATTATAAGATTGTACAACAGCCAAAGCCACCCATTGAGGGGGATTACAGTCCATCTTCTGTTCATTCGCATCCTCTACATAGTAACAAATAGGTGAGGCAGAAAGTTCAAATGTAAAACATACTTCTGGCTGACATGATAAACAAATTCCTGCATAGTGCATATTGCAGCTAAAAGCTACTTGTACTCTTCTCATTATAACTTCGGACAGAACATGAAAAAAGAAAAATATTGCTGTGTTGTAACTGATATAATCAAATTTCTCTCCTACTTGTGCTTCTGAGTAGAAAAGATTCCTTTGTCTTATAAGCAACAAGGGTAAATGAGATAATATTTCAGGAGGAGAGACCAGAGGCTAACCATTAACTCTTACAAGGTGAAGATCACCAAGATGCAGGTCATCAAATTCTGAAGCTTGCAGATATGCATCGGGGATACTTGAAGATAGCTTGGCCAGTGCATCAAACATTCCTCCATGACCCCAGTGTCCAGAATCATCAACACAGCTGCGAAATAAACATATTAAGTCAGGTCTGGTGGTAAAACCACTGACAGCCTACATCATGCTCATACTCTGAAAGAAAATGTTTCTATAAAAGAATATTTTAGCTTTAAGATACAAACAAAAAGTTACTGTATCAAGAACGAAATAGCAGGAACACAAGAAGACACATTAACTGTTCTGACTCATTCAATGCAAAATAATGTGAACACTCAAGAGGAGGCATTTAGAAAAATTAAATTTACCTGAAAATAATGGTAGGTTCAGACGGACAAACTTTTGATGGTTGTGTACAGTCCCCATAAACAAACTGGACAGAACCTGAATCAGACATCATGTCACTATCCACAGGGCTGACAGGGTCCTCGACAGACAATGAATGGTACCCAAGGTCTTCCCACTTAGATAACTTCTCCTCCTCTGCCTTCTTCTTTGCAGCCTCACGTTTTAGACGCTTTTCCTCTAGTAAGTTTCTTCTGCTTCTCAAATCCGTATTTTCATTTCCACTTTCTTGTGATACCTCCTTGAATTTTTCAACCCAAGAGAGATATGAAACTTCATCA